CGACCTCTCTGCCTTTCTGTAAATAAACATACTTCCTTCCTTCCCTATCATGTGATAACCAAAGCTGCCAAAACTATCACGGGTGAAGAATCTCAATCTTTGATTGATTAATTGATTGATTGATATGTGGGGTTTAACGTCCCAAAACCACCATATGATTATGAGAGACGCCGTAGTGGAGGGCTCTGGAAATTTTGACCACCTGGGGTTCTTTAACGTGCGTCCCAATCTGAGCACACGGGCCTACAACATTTCCGCCTTCACCGGAAACGCAGCCGCCGCAGCCGCGATTTGATTCCGCGACCTGCGGGTCAGCAGCGAATCACCTTAGCCACTAGACCACCGTGGTGGGGCCGCATCTCAATCTTTCTCGCATTGTAACATTCAAGTGTTAGGCTGCACGCACGGTTATAGGGACTTGGACGGCACGCACGAAGTGTACACGACAGTCGGTTTAGTTTGGTTTATTTGTGAATTCATCAAACGAAAATCAAACGACGAGTACCACCCCCCCCCCCCCCCCCCTGTTTTCCAGGAGCTATCTGGATAACGTAATAATACGTCAGCAATCGACAAAACCTTACAACTCACGCGTATAGTCAACGCGACACTGCGTGAGATTAAGCTTGACCGTAAATGCTTAACAGCGCAGCTTCGCAACATCGAACATGTGCACAGAAACACTACGTGCGCAGTTGCATCACGCGATGTGCAAATCGAGGCACATAGCAAGCGAAGCAGCAATTCACTGCCGTACTGTTGTTGCCTTGTCGTGGCCACCTCCAGAAATTCTGTTCCGTGGTTCCTGTGTGACAGTGCGCTCGCCGGTCTTCAATGCGACTTCTAGGTACGGCGCGTGCAGCAAGTGACTCTGGATACGCCGTGAGATAGTGCTTGCGTCCGTTCTCAGTAAAAGGGTCACTAACCTATTGAACGCGTCAGGAAATAGCAACGAGAAGAGGATTACGAACACCGCGAGTGCCAGCGACATCACTAATACGTTGCGCGCGTATGTCGTGATGTTGGGCCAGTAGATGATTTTGGTTATTATTCCCCGGGATGAGCTCGTGCTGGTTCCGGAGGCCATGGACCCAGACTTAGTCGGCGGGTTCGGAACGCAACCGTCGCCCACGTTTGGGATTTTACCGCCTGAGCTGCTTTTTTCGGATCCCCTGTCACTCGTCTTGTCCGTGGGTGTTTTGTCGTCTCGCTGCCCGCGGTCGGGAACGTTAGCAGCGGCCTTCTCGGAGACGGTCTGGGTTTGCTTAGCTCCGCCCTTGTCGGTGACTTTGCCGCTGTCCTTGGGATCGGAGGGCCGTCGCTTTCCACCGTCGATTCGAGGAACGGGTCGTTGTTGGGCGAGTTTAGCACGGACTCTGACCGGGGGCGCCGACGTAGACTTCTTTTTCGGCGCTGGGACGTTCGTTGCACGGCTAGCTGGTATCTTGCAAACACCTATAGTGGTTTTTTTGGCGGCCTTGTGAACTACCGGAGCGGCTCCTTTCTTAGGAGGTGGCACAGCCGCCAATTTGGGTGCGGTGTTCCCCGAGAATCTCCTGGCACCGGTGCCGGTTGGCTTCTTAGACCTTGCGGGGTCATTGGGTTTCGGGGGTGTCTTGCTCGGCGATCCTGCACCGGACGCGTTATCGGAAGCTCTCGTTGAGGAAGAAGCTGAGATCTTTCCGGGTACCTTTGCGGCTGCACCATCGGGCGGCCTCTTCGAACTTTTGTCCGCCAACTGTTTGCTGGACGGAGGAGCTGCTTTATCGTCAGACTGCGACTTGCTTTTGCCCTTGGAGGTGCTTTTGTTCTTGGAATCGGCGCCGGATGTGGATGCCTTGACGGCATCTTCGAGCTTGCTGATCAACGATGACGGTCTGGTAAGAGTGAAATTTTGAGTCAGGCTGCTCGACTTTTTCTCCTGGGTGGGCTCCAGCAGGCACACCTCGTTGGGGCATGGCTTGTCTTTCTCGTGAACGCAGGTGTTGGGCCTACAGTCCAGCTGCAAGAAAAAGTTGTCGTTCGTGTCGCTCTTGCCATCCTGGACGGGCGTTGTCTCCGCTGCTGCGTTCGGTAGAGACGCACCTCGACCGCTTGACTTCCGGGCGTGGCTTTTCGCAAGGGCCTTGTTGACAACGGGAATGCATTGCCGTGGTAGCGGAACGCGGGCTGGCCCCCTGGGCTGTGACCTCGTACTTGACGTAGTCAAGGTTCTTTGTACGTAGAAACGAGGTTCCCGCTTTGCGATGTCCTCGCTGTTCTCTTCGCGCTTTTTGAGGGTCTTCGGTTGGATAGGCCAATACATGACAACCTACGCCTTGGACTATCTTCTTCTTCTTCTTCGCTTGTTGAATACACGCGGGGTTTTAGACTGCCTAACCGGAATATGAATTGTTGTCACGCGCAAATGTTTGGAATGATTGCATGCTGAACAAATAGAAAAAGAAGACTCAAAATATCGTCTTAGAATATTGTTTTGGAGGACATTTTGTTTTTGATATCCCAGCGATTATGACTCAGGCAAGTATATCTTAATTATGACAGTCTACCGAATACAAAACATCCGTAGGCATCACCATCATCTCTCAACCCTATAGGCACCCAGCAATGCAGTTTGCGAGATCTGATGGTAGCGCGAGAACACACAGCCTAGCGAGTAGGCACAGCAAAACAGTCTTCCAATGCGTAGCCTAACGAGTAGACGCAGCAAAACCGAACTTGCGTGTGAATATAATTTTATTTTTTAGTTTGTGAGCGAGGGGGCCACGGCTGATTATTTTAGTGCCCAGGAAGCGTTCTTTAAAACGTGCCAAAAAGGGCACTGACACTTCAGCGTGTCACTGTGTTCAGCGAGCGTTCCATTTTTTTAGTATCCCTGGCGGTCGATACCAAGAATGCTGAGGCGGCCCAAAGAGCTTCGTCGCGCCCTCTGGTCCATTGCCTGGTGCCTATAGTACGTCACACAGCGAAAAGTTAAATGTGGGGCAGCGTCGATCAACACACTTACGAAAATGGGCCCAAGATTTCCAAATCACAGTGTACGCGCAGTTCAGGCAGTTGAAGGCACGGCAGCGTAGTTTAGGCTACCGAGTGAGGGTAATGGGATTTACCAAAAAATTCTGTGGCACATGCTTCGTAGGCCGCACAGCCGGGGCGTGGCCTGAAATTTTTTTCGGGGAATGTTCGCGCGTGCGTTTATGTGTACGCGCGTGTATACACAAGAAAAATTGAAAAATTTCGAGAGAGAGGAGGGCGTCTGAGCACCAACCCCCTATCCTGGCTACGCCATGCACTGCCACACGAAATAGGCTGCGTAGGATAGGCCGCACAAATTACGGCAGCCTCGCTGTTAAAAGACAGATTGGGCCCTTTGGATGGTCTCCCCATTTACTCATTCCTTGCTTAAAGAACGAAATTGTTGTCACTCGAATGGCCAGTGTACACTATAGCTATTTGTTGAGCTTACGAGATATACGCGAAGCTTGGTTGCTTCATTATTTTTTTTTTGACCGTTATCACTCGTGGACGCAGGAAGACCGCTGCCAAGTGGGATCCGTTTGGCGAAGGAGAGGTCACGCTTTTGGTCAACGGCAGCTCTCGTACTGAAATAGAGCAGTGGATGACCGAGACGTGCAACAATTTTTACTCTACTTTATACATAAAACTTGCAACGCGTTGCTTCTAATCGTGCACATTGCACCAACGTGGACTCGGAACTGTATATCCGCGTTGTGTTTACTTGTTTGTGTGCACCTCCGAAGTCGTTATCACGTCAGAATCTTTTCACAGTGAAATTGATGGACGCGGGACTGCATCGAACCTGCGTTGATGTGTGCCGTTGATATTTTATATATGCTTGAAGACTCGCAACCCTATTTGTACCCTACATCTACGTCAACGTAGATGCGGGCTGCGGAATATTCGAAGCCAATAGAACGAAGTATTGTCGAACTTTCGTTGGTGCTGGCTCTTTCACGAGGCTCAGTCTGGCGCATTAATCGCATTTTACCTGTTTCTTTTTTTTGTTATTACTGCGATAATACGTGAATGTTTATTGATGAGGCGGGACTTTGACGCATTTCTACAATGAGCATCGTTGGACACATTGATTGTCTGTGTAACTGTATTTGATAGAGTGCGTGTTGCCCTCCTGCATCCGAGCTCGGTGCATCAGTATGGTGTTTGTGTGCCCTTCCTCGCAGCTTGCACTACTCAATGCTCGAATATACAACGATTATTCCCGTGACTTAAAAGTGAGCTATTTTGTCGTTCACTTCACAGCCTCGATCTTTTAGAAATAGGTAGATCAAAATAAGACAGCACGATTTTCACTTTACTGTTTGTATGATAAAATCGAGGCCGCCGTGACGTCAGTGCATACCTTCTATTCGACGGGGAAAAAGAAATAGTAGTGGTAAACCAATGTGCTCGGAGCCGTAATAAATATAGTTTGCCTCTAATGAATATGCAGTGAGCGCTGATATTGTACCCGCTAATCTGCATATCGACGCTATCACAACAGTTTGTGCATTCTCAAGACTTCGTTTGCGCTTGGAATGCATGTGCCTATACTGGGCGCACGTTAAAGAACCCCAGGTGGTCAAAATTTCCGGAGCCCTCCACTACGGCGTCTCTCATAATCATATAGTGGTTTTGCGACGTTAAACCCCACAAATCAATCAATCATGTGCCTATACGGTTTAGCAAAGAACACCACGGGAATGTATTGTGCGGCTCATTTGCTCTCGTAATAATCGGTACAAGTATTTCTACTTGCTTAGTTTTGAGAATAAGGTCATAATTATACGACAGTGTTAACACCTGGTCAACGGCGACGTGCCTTGTCAAGTATTCTATCCTCCATGGCCTTCCCCGGTGGACGCGAAATTTAGCATCGCTCGTGATCGAGGCGCCACTTGTACGCCTAGCGACGATGGAGTGAAACAAGGCAATCGTTTCCTAGACAACGGGCGCTGCCACTTCTCTCGCCCGCGCGAGCTGTAACACCTCCGTTGCCTTCTTCTCCCAACGCTTCTCCCGTTGGCTTCGCTATTTGCCGTTAGCCCCCTTGGATTTTCACAGCGCTGGCAATGACGCGTTTTCTAGCGAGGCATCACGTCTGATGCATTCACGACATCGGTACGCCATCGTACGCGACCATTACCCGACCTTCAGAGGCACAGGTCCCGACCACTACTCTTCAGGCCACAGGGGCACAAAAGGTGAGCCTGCTCATTTCGCTCCCCGTGCGTTCGTGGTCTATCGAATGGTGCAGTGTTGACGCCGGAGGCAGGCCATGGGTCTGTCAAAGCCCGGACATTTACTATTTTTGGTACGCTATCGACCACCCCCAACAAGGAACGCTGCTAGTCATCGGCGCGCTATTCTGCTTCCTATAGTGTGCTCTTGGTGTACGCAACTGCACAACGTCGGTGTGTTTTCTGTCTCCATTCAACGCAGGCCCGACTGGACGCAGCTGGTTCGCTGTTCACTTCGGGGTTGAAATTGAGTGCAGTGTCAAACGGTCTCGGATCGAAAACGTGGTGTAGCCGACCACAGCTTTGTGGACCTTTTCACGTTTCATTGCTTATAGTGCCTCGCTGACAGGCAATATGGGAGGTATCATCTACACTTGCAGGTTGGTTCAACATTGTCAACTTAATGTATACAATTATAGCGAGAACCTCTGTACCAACCTGCGCGAGCTTAAAATTGGTGAATTCGTTGTCTAGAACTTGGAGCGTGTTTAAATATACTTGTGAGTGCTTTTGAGTGCTATATGTGTTCAAAGCAAACGTTCGACGACTTACCATGTACTCTGCTGTGGGAGAGCAATAAGATGTCCCGAAATAAAAGATTACGTTATCGATGCACACTTCAGATTAGAATAAATAATAAACGATTTAGAGTTTTGCGTACTCTACGTTGGGAGGGCCTCAAGCCGCCCCCAGTGACCCTCCGTTCAAAAAGTGGTTAACAATTTAGAGTACTTGCTTCTCTACTATGAGACAGCATGAATCCGTCCCTGCAAATAACGAACATAGACAAGAGTGTGCTAAGAAAAAGTGGCTAACGATTTTGAGTACTGGGTACTCTACTATGGAAGCAAAAGTGTTTAGAAATCATATTTAACGATTTCGAGTACTTCGTACTAACTATGGGAGAGCACTGAGCGGTCCTGATCCGCAAAAAAGACCTAGTTCGCCTTAGCAATTGATGCGATGTACGTACTCTACTATGGAAGCAAAAGTGTTTAGAAATAATATTTAACGATTTCGAGTACTTCGTACTAACTATGGGAGAGCACTGAGCGGTCCTGATCCGCTAAAAGACCTGAGTTTAGAAAAAATGTTTAACGATTTAAAGTACATCGTACTCTACTATCGGAGAGCATAATGCCGTCCCCATACACCACTGTATAAAAGACCTAGTCCACCTTAGCAATTGATGCGATGTACGTGACGCAGCCTTTACTTTATGCTTCAAAGTTTTTTTGCTTTCATCAATCCTACTTTCCCTGGTTACATAAGCAAAAAACTGTGATATGATATCGACGTGCGCGGCAAATAGTTAATGAATTAATTTTTACCGCGTTGAACTCTTTCCCGTGCACCTAACTTTTAACAAGTAGTTGTTTTGTTTTTATAGAATTCTGTTTTTACAGATACTGCCTCCCATAGAAACCGGGAATAAAAACTGCGTCCGCGATCAATGGAGTGCATCAACTTAGCCGATGACTTCTACGGCTTAAGTTTTTTTTTCAAAGATAGATAGATAGATAGATAGATAGATAGATAGATAGATAGATAGATAGATAGATAGATAGATAGATAGATAGATAGATAGATAGATAGATAGATAGATAGATTATGTGGGGTTTAACGTTACAAAACCAAAATATGATTATGAGAGACGCCGTAGTGGGGTGCTCCGGAAATTTCCACCACCTGGGGTTCTTAACGTGCACCCTAATCTGAGCACACGGACCTACAGCATTTTCGCCTCCATCGAAACTGCAGCCGCCGCAGTCAGGATTCGATCCCGCGGCCTGCGGGTCAGCAGCCGAGTAGCGTAGCCACTAGACCGCCACGGTGCGGCTTTTTCGATGAAAGAATGTATTGAGTTGGTGATGACAGTTCACTAATTGCGGGTGTATTAATGTTTTTTAGATTACTGCATTCACCTCTATATTGGAATCCAACCCTTTGCTCCAGCTGATCCGTAGATGAATAATCGATCCTATAAGATGGCGCTGCGACTTGTAGTTTTTTTTTTTTCCTGGACACTTGTTTCTTTATTCGTATTGGTATATAACGAATAACATAGTTAAAGCCCATTAACCCTCACTTTTTGTGATTCATGTGTGTTTCAAAACAGAGTACACAGAAACACCCAGTGTCCGAGATCGCGCTGCATCATTTTTTTTTTTCACTGATACTCTCCCGCTTGGTACTTTCATTCTTTGCACTTTAAACGCGTATTTGTAGGTGACTTCACCTGCTGAAAAAAAAAAAGACGATAGTATTGCGTCTGGGGAGAATGAACAAAACGTTTATTTGATGTTCTGGGCAAGAAACCGGTGAATGGTATTTTGGAGGCGCTGCGTTAGAGTGCCTCGAGTGTGCAGCGGAGGCGAACGAGCGCACCAAGTCACGTCACACGCGAGACATGAGTGCTATCTGGTAGTTGTGTTAGAAAACGAAACGCGAGGCCCTGAGACGGGCGTGCGGGCATGCGCGCCCGTCTCAGAGGTGATAAGGTGTAGAACGCAAGGCGACGGGTAGGTGCCATCACCGTTACGTCTCAGCAAAGCGTTGGAAACGCTTCCCTTTTCGTGCAAGTGTTGCGGGGTCAGCGCCGCGTGATAAACGCTATGGTCCCTAGAATAATTTATGTATGCCTTTTCTAGTTAAAGACGCACATAGAGAATATATATGTGTTGTTATAGTGCCTCAGATATGCGCGATAATTTCTTTTTAATTAACATTCGCACAAGTAGGAACGCTGAATCTTGAGCAACATTGGTGGGCGCTGCGGATGGGGTTGGCCGTTCGGAATATCCGCTGGAGCCGTTTAGAGTTCCCGGTATCGTTAAGAGTGGACAAACACACAAATGGACAGACAGGCCAAAATTTTTGCGTCGAAGGTCCCCAAGAAAGACTATTGTCTTTAAAAACAAGGCAATATGCCTTGTTGTTTGAGTTATCTGTTACAGAAAACCACATCTCAGATAACGGGAGGCCACCCGAACAATGAGAGCAAATAGCATTGTTCTGGCCCAATCAGTATGTACTGTCACACCATCGTAGCACGTATAGCGTGTCAATTGTGTCATACAAGCGTGTCAAGCGTAGCAAAACGCGCAGGAATGTTCGTCGTTCTGCAGCTGCTCCAACAATGCAGAGAGTTGGAATTCAGTGAATCACTGTTCGCAATTGACAATTAAAAGGAAACAGAGCAACAGCACATGGAAACAGGGAACATAGACAGATGTGGGCTTCCAGTTGAGAGTTCATTAGCCAGGAGACACACACATATGTGCGAGCATACATGCTGTATCTCTACCTTATTTTCGTTCACTGATTACGGTGTTATTGCTCAGTTTTTGGTTTGGCTTTCGTTTTTTAGGGGCGAAACTCCTTATGCTCTAGGGCAATCCATACCTCGGCGTATACCCAGCACAGCATATCCACAGGCAGGCAGGCAGGCAGGCAGGCAGGCAGGCGGACAGATGGACGGGGGGCGGAAGGATGGACGGATGCTTCGTCCCACTCATCATCACTCACTCCGTGGTTAGGCTGTTATTATATTTTTTGTCATCTCTTTTCTCACTACGGAATCATCGTTAGCTCCGTCACACACGTTACCTACAAAACGTCCTACCATCTCAGCTCATTTAACAGGTTTTATGTATCGGTGATTTCTGGCACTGCGTGTGATTGCTCCTTTGTCATCTAATCCGCGTTGCAATGTATCCACCTGTTTTTTTGCTTGCTTTGTTTTTGTTTGCTTTCCCTTAGCAGCTGAGTACAGGTATTGTAAGATCTAGCACGTTAACGCAAACTACAAAGTGCTTATTATGGAATGTGTTCTTTATGGCGTACTAAGGAGTTTCAAATGGCTATAAACGCCTAATACGCCGCTTCAGGTGGCCTCTTTGAAGAATGAAAATGTGTGCACAACGCGTCGTAGATTCAGCGCACCTTTAAGAGCCCCGTTTTATCGTATGCACTGTCCTTGCTTAAGAATAGTTTAGTTCGTTAACAGTCTGAGGAATTAACATATAGCCGGCCACCCACATGGGGCTTTTCTGGCCGAGTCCGCAACACAACATCCGTTTTAAATATAACAGGTTAGGCTATAAGACACTCGGTTAGACTTATCAGTAATTTATTGCATGTTATAGGCGATCGCTACAGCGATGCTTCAAAGAAATTTTACTAAGTAGTTGAGATGAATGAATATACAAAGAAAGCTGGACCACCATGCGCTCCTTTCAGCCTCTTCTCCCTGCTAAAAAATAGAAAAAAAAAGCCTGACTTCAATTAAAGCAACTTGATGCCGATTACGTCACACTATGCCGTGCAGCATGGGCCAGGATATTTCCTTCTGTCCAGCCAGGCTTCATGAATCACTCGAAAAACTCTCGATGAGTAATCCCGCTGCTGCTGCCGACGGTTGCTGGGGGGCGTCATCCTCGTGTCGTCCACTCACGCGCGCTTAATTCAGCCGGAGTGCCCTCGTCCTTAGCTCCAGCCACGTAACCAAGCTCGGCGCGTCAAGTCGGCGGCGGCGCGCCAGTACCTTCCCGCCAGCTCGTTCGATGGATCTGCATGACACGCGACAGAGCTGTAACGCCGCACGCGCGCGCAGGGGAAAACGCTGCGACTGCACGTGCCACACAGCAACCGCGCGACAGAGCGATCGATTCCTGCGGACGTTAAACAACGAAGCCGGAAAACCGAAGCCCCGTTTGCACAATGCCGCCTCGCTCCTGCTGCACATGCCGACAACTAAGCCGCTTCAAAGGATGCTTCTTTTGTTGGTGTTGTTGCGTCGTTGCTCAGGCCTCCAACGCCCTTTCTTCGTTTTGGGTACTGTCGTTAAAAATGACAAAAGCTAGAGGAGACGGATCTGTTACGAGGGTGCATCGCATGGAGCAATATTCAGCTTGGTAATGGACAGAGAGCTTTCTTCGCAAATCATCCCGGACTTAGCTGAC